AGAGAGAGAGAGAGAGAGAGAGAGAGAGAGAGAGAGAGAGAGAGAGAGCCGTCGCTCGTGATTCCATCGCCGGAGAGCGACGCTTCTTTTTTCTGCCTCCGATAAATCTAAAATTACAGACCTCCGTCGAATTTCGCCGAATTAAGTTGCACCGCGCGGTGAAAATATTATTTTCGCTAAATGGAGCATGAATATTTAAAAAAGGGAGAAAAATCTCCCAACATTTCGCGTACGCGCCGTTCATTTTCTTTTCTTTTTCCTTCACCACCTCTCGATAATCCCGTTCTAGAACTTGGGATTAAACGAGCAGCCCTACGCGAATCCGTTATCGCGATATGAGAATGACAGGGGTGATATACGCTGCTGGATGTGGGAGAGCGTGATTTAATTAAACATTAAAAGCCGCCCGCGTGATACAAGTAGGCCACTCGTTGTGCGATACCACTCGTCGATTCAATGAGAAAACTACTCGTGCCTCGTCATTGTTGCTTAAGTACCTTTGGTTTCCCCTCGTGTTATTAATATTGTGTGTTTTCCTTGTTAAACACGTACTGCACATCACGGGTACCTATGAGTCTTACACTCTGGGTATGAGACTAAATGACGATTGTAATATTTACATGTTTTCGCAGAAGGTTCACGTGATACTGCTGTCTTGTCTTCGTTGAGATTGGCGAGAAAAAGCTTTATTTTAGGTGTGCAAATTCGTCGGCGGCTTAATATCCCGTTACAGCTGTGCTACACCAATTTGCCTTGCTAGAATTTGCGAAACGAATTCGCGCGCGGCACGAAATCAAGAGAGTGACGAATATTTTTTTTCTCGCTGACACGAAGCGCGCGCTTCACTGTATCTCGCGCGTTCATCCGAGCATCAACGTCGGAAAGATCGAATATTTGTGTACTTCATTTCGGTGAAGGGTCCACGAACGAGTGGAAATGCCTGGCTACGATGTTACTCGCAACAAAATTAATGCGACCGTTATGCACACCTCAAAGCACGCCTGACACTGCAGGCAAGCGAGGAACAGCGATAGTGACAAAGGGACTTTGGAATCTCGCGAATTCTGCATTATTAATGTGCAAACGGCGCAACGGTAACTTTAATGGATTGTATTTTGCGGGAAAAGGCGTAAACTAGTGGAAAATCTAGCAATTGTTCTCTTTCTCGTCATCCAAGGGGGAGCTGAATAGAGTAAGTGTACATTTGATTTGTGCGAAAGAATTATGACATCGTCAACAGAGAGCTTACATTTTATGACGCGTGCGATGATTCGAGTTTCATGAAAAAATGTGACAGTTGAGTTTCAACAAGCCGTCATCAGACATTGCATTTATCGATGGTAAATAGGGACATCATAGCAGGCGGAACATTAATCGTTTTATCCCATAAATTCGGCGACTTTGCTTATGAAGCGCACAGATTGCGCGCGACAAGCGTGGGAAATTATTTAAAAGCGACGAGCTCTCTCGTGCTTTTCTAACGGATCCTGCATTTTACGCGACGTGCTGGCCTTAAATACGACCGACGTCCGAGAAAGTCATAACCACTTTTCCGTCGCGGACGTGAGTTCCGTTGAAACATTATCAAGTTGAAAGTGCCGAGCGAGTATGTCAACATTTCGCGAGAAGTTTCAAAAAGATTGCGCGCGATTCCTTGTTATGGAGCTCAAACGTAGACACGAGCCAAGAGGAGGGATGCGAGAAAATTTTTATTCACGCAATACACACACACACACACACACACACACATCGTCGCGACAAATCAGTAATCTACTCGCGTGATTATATCACGTTTGCGCAAATTTAAGAATTGAATTCGGATCTCTCTCGGTAAATCTACCAAGTGAAACGCATCGCGATATTCGCTAAGTGCGGCGCGTGGAATTAAAAAGAATATCATGTGACAAGCAAATTAAATAAAATAGATATCACATAAATTTTGGCAATATATTCTTAATAAATTTAATCAAGTCAATGAATCCTTCGATTAACGAGGCAGTTTAACGTTCCGAGGGAAAAGGGACGTGCCCTTTTCTCCGACTTCCAAAGACGCGACAAACAAACGATGGATACACGAGATGACCATCTCGGCAAAGTTCTCGCGGAGTGCAGCGGAGTAAAGACTCCAACAACTTTCCTTACTCACTTTGCTCCTGCGAAACTCCACGCGCGGAGCGATAGCTAAAGGATTCTCGCTATAAATTGCTGCGTTTTAGTGTGTAATTCTTCGAGTTTGAAAGTCGGAGATAGACGTGCTACCGAGAATTGAAGAATCAATTTCGTTTAATTGATAAGACACTCTACTATGCTAGTCCGTCAAAGATCATTAAATTGTTATTACTGCTTTGCCAATCAGGATAAACTGACATCCGCGTCTGTGTTGAGGATATGTCTTTAACGTTACTTACTGTTAGATCGCGCAATCTCTCGTGTGAACAAAGTCTATCGAAAAGCAGCGCACTTTTAACGCGAATAATTAAATGATGTGTACAACGTATTAAAATCACACGCTATCCAAACAGTCAACATTGATACGCTTAAATAATAAGACTGCCGCGCGACAGCGATAGAATTTCCGCCTCCATCGTGCGCGCATCTCGCTCATGGGGAGACACAATGGTCCTCGTGGCGTGGCGTCAGCTGGGATCTTCGTACGCTAGTGTATCGTTCATAGACAACCATAATGGGTATTATGAACAATGTGGCATTGTGTCGGTAGGTACGCGGTAATCGATAAATCTACGATTTATCGATTACCAGGGAACGGAATGTGGATACGAAATCCACACTTGTAACGGCGGGAGTTCCGGCGAAAGTCGCCATCCGATGCACATTGCTTTTAATTGCGCCGCATAAGATCGAGCGTTTGTGTAAATTCCGTAAAATTCTTCAGCGAATTTTAATTATCCGATAATTAACGCACATATATACACACGTGTACGTGTAGCGCAGCAATTGCCGGCTGAGCGCGTATCGCTACACAGAACTGGCGACTGCGTTCCGAATATATTGTTGATTTAATTAACTAGCGGAATTAACCATTTCGCGAGCGGGCACTCTTGCTCATTGGTGCATCGCAGGCAGTCAGTCTGGCTTTTGTTCACCGTCAGTCTCGTTCATTGAAAGTCCGATTACAAGATAAACGCGATTCTGCCGGCGAATTGACGTCAAAATCGACCTTGGTGCGTACATCATTCGCGGTTTTAAGACAGTGGGAGTCAACCATCGTGCAGTGATAATCTTGATGATTACCATATTATATTTCGTTACTCGCGCTTATATGAAAATATGTCTCGAATTGCGTTTTTATTTCTCCTCAACAATCAAGTTCGATCCCGCATTTCCATTGTTCTCCTTTCACACGACGATTCTCATTTGTATTATAACGTAATGATTTGCATTAATTAGAGCCGCGCAGCGTTGCGCCGCAGCTATTTGGAATCGTTTTTATCAGTGAGTCCTTGTACTGTTCAGCCGTTGCTAGAGACGTTTAGCGACTCTAAATGAGATTTTAAGAACCCAATTATTCAGGAACATACTTAAAAACGAGAGACCAATTTCGTCCGCTCGCGTCGGAAGTGGAACAAAATCGCTTTCGAAGCTACTCGAAGCTACTCGTTCCCGCTGTCCATGCGAAAATCCAATTGAAATGTAACGCGACTCCGCCCGAACTGACGTTAAGTGCGTTACAACAAATTATCTCAATTAGTGCACCGAGCTAATTGCGGTCTTTTGACTGTCCATACGAATGGCTGACAATACGTGAGTAAACAATAACTCTCTCGATGTAAACTATTATCGACGCGAAATGTATTATTCGTGAAATACGAGTATATTAATTTATCAAGCTTTTTTGCATCAATTAGCATCATACCGCACATTTGTCGCGCAAAGCTGCAGTAATTGACGAAAAGTATGCATTTCAGTCGTGATTACTTGGTTTCATCATTAATGTCAAAAGATTCGTTCGATTTGAGCTAGTTCTCCAGTGTCGCTGGGATCATGAGACCTTTCCGAAGTGTTTTTAGCAAACAAGACATGGAGTGGTCGAAAACTCTCGCGCTAACCGAGTGTGCGGCCGTAATGCGCGCGTTATTAAGCGCCGATTCAATTACGGAGCTTTATCGTCGAAGGTGCGTATCTCCTTTAAAAGAAAATCGGGGTCGTTTATCGCGACATAATCGACAATTATCGATTGCTTTTATATAGACCGATCTAAAAATAAGAAAAGGAGGAATTACGCGATGCGACGTTTATACGTCGCGATACGCTTGTGTGTACCTGCGATATTGTTAGATAACTCTAATTACCGGTTTGGCGTCATAAAAAATTATGACAAAAAGTACGTCAACGGTTGATCAGAATCGTACTACTTATCGCGCTACCAAGAAAACTCTTCTCTTCATCTCGACATTACTATATAAAGACTGTCGTCGCTGGGAAACACCGCAGTCGTTTTGGGTGGAGGAGAGCGCGGGAAAGTCCTCTAAAGCTGTTAATCGTTCCTCGCAATCTCAGTCGTAAGCATGCTGCTTTTTATCGGTTGACTCGCGTAATTAATTACAGAACTGAGAACGTGTTGCGCATTCTCGCAATATTCCGCTTTATTTCAATCAACACATTAGTTATGCAACTAACGTTGCAAATTGACTCGTCTCAATAAAGCGATGAAACATTTGTGATAGTCGACAGTTTCGAAAAAAAAAAAAAAAAAAAAACAGAGAAAAGAATTGGCAGATCGAGTGATTCCCGTATTTTCATAATGGTTTCGCAAATATCGAAGCTAGACTATGTGTACAAAGTGCTCTGATATCAACGAGCCGAGATTACTTTTTACTTTCGAGATAAAAGAGGGGTCAGTCGCTCGAGACAATCGACCCTGATCGTCATTCGATCGCGAACGTATCAAGAGATACGATATTGCCTCGCACCACCATGCTCGCGAAATCGTACGTGTACAATACACGTGAATAAATTATAAAATTTGTCTCTAACGGGAGAGAAAGAAGCACACACGTTTAATACTTGATTCTCTCTTTCAACTCTACAGGATCCAAAGATGCCACTGTCGGAGTTCCGCAAGAAAAAATTACTCTTCGTCTTCAACGCTTTCTTCGGTAAGTATGTACGTATGAGGAAGGTATACGTTGTCTAACTATACAGGGTGTCCCACAACTGGTAGAACACGTGTTAGGGGTAGGTAGGGGGTGCAATCTGAAAGTTCCTCTTCCATTTCTGGATTCGACAATTAGTTAACGAGATATTAATTAATTTAGTTTGCCAATCCCTTAGCGACCTGAGTAAACGCTTAGGGACGTAGGACGCCATGGGTTCTTCAAGGGCTCTACTTGTCCGCGTTTTTCTCCCCTTTTTGTATACACACACTAAAATCATTCACGATACTCGACCATCGACATGCAGAACATATTCAAGTCACCCACGCACTCGAAGGAAACATACCACACATGCCCTCCCCCCCCCCCC